GACCTCTTTAGGATCCCTTTCTCCTTTCTCTGGCTGCTCTCTGGCTTCTCAGAGTCTCATTCCTATCTTTCTAGGTCCATCTTTTCCACTGGTGCACCGTGTTGGAGCTGAGCTACAGTTAATCAAAGAAGGAATTCAACATTTGAGTTATTGGAGTTAAAAAGTACTAAATAATTTTATCTATCATTATTTTTGTTTTCCACTATTGTGATTATCCTGACTATAGATTTCTGCAATCTGCAATCTGCAGAATAAGCAAGAGTAGGAACATTATATAGGTATCCTGATCATAGTATTATACATATGGAATAAGCTTATGTAAATTGAGACATGTAAAAAGAAATTTTTTTCATAAAATCAACACTATATACATATTAATGAAGCAAACTGTTGTAAAATGCTGATCCTCAAAGATAGCAAGTGCAATCTTGCAAGTGCCCTCACTTACACACCAAATCAGGAAAAAAGAAGACCAGAATATATGTGGTTGTGGTATTTTTATATGAAACATTCTCTTATACATGATAAACTCCAAACACATTAAAATACCAGCATTATCCACAAACTTATGTTTAAACTATTATATTGCAAGTTCTACCTTTTTCAATAACTGTCATCTCATTTCTATTATTTTTACCTCAAGACTCTAATTGTTTCTTTTATAGGATCTAACCTACTAGTGTCCTTGGCAATACACTTTATGGTGTTTGCATTTGCAATAATTATTTGGACAATTTGCCACATAGTACAACCGGAAAACGTTTTACTAGTTCAGGTCTAAATTCTTACAAAAACTAGCAGTTTTATAATGAGCAATATAGCTGTGAAAGTAGAAACGATGAATGTCTTTTACCCTAAATAGCACGTAGGTTTCTTTTCAGTTAAAAAAAAAAAAGTAAATTTAAATGCACTGAAGTATGGGTGAGTAATCTCCATGATAAATGAAAATTGTTTTATAGACTTAACAGTAGCAGAAGTACAATTTGTATAAAATTTAGGGCGCCTGGGTGGCTCAGATGGTTAAGCGTCTGCCTTCGGCTCAGGTCATGATCCCAGGGTCCTGGGATCGAGTCCCGCATCGGGCTCTCTGCTCCTTGGGAGCCTGCTTCTCCCTCTGCCTCTCTCTCTCTCTCTGTCTCTCATGAATAAATAAATAAAATCTTAAATAAATAAATAAATAAAATAAAATTTACATTAATGCTAGCCCATTTGATTATGTATACCTTCTCTCCCCACCCCATGGAAACTCTTAATAGCAGAGTATTTTTACTAGAGGACTTAATTTCACACTGACCATACCTTTGTAGAGTAGAAGCCAGTGTGGAATAGTAGCGTAAACCGGCGTTTTTCAAGCTTGGCTGCACACAGGGAAGGGAAAAATAAGAGACCCATACACAGGCCCCACTGCAAAGACTAACTGAACTGGTCTGGGGCAGGGCTCAGGCATAGGTATTGTTTAAAAATCTCCCCAGGTGATTCTGATGTGCCCCAGGATTGGGAATAACCGGTGTAAACAAAAGATCTAAACACAGGTGTTCTGAATTACAATTATTAAAAAAAATTGGAAATCATTTAGTCTCAATAAGTACCAAAGGAGTAATACTATTTAAACAAAAAGAAAATCAGTCAATCTAAATGAAATAATGCTTTTGCAGGTATGGTGAGAGGGTTAAGCAAGAGCAGGAACACTAAGGATCAAGTTAATTGCCATTTAGGATGAAGTCAACTTTTAAGAGTTTTCTTTTAAAACAGTTTTCCTTCTTGAAAAAAATGTATATTTTAGGATTCAGAAAATCACACTTTTAAATATGATCTGCAATCAGATTGCAGGATCTGACCTCCTTCCAATCTGATGTCTCTTTACAAGCCCACATATGTGCCAGATGCTACTGCCTTCATTGAGTTTGGGATAGTGTTCCTAGTATTTTTTTCTGTAGGGCCCCATGCTTCCCCATTCGTGAATGGTACAGTTGTGATTTTTAAACTGCTGGTTTGTATTTATCTTTCTTTAGACTGTAAACTTTATGAAGGCAGAGCTTGTTTAATCTTGGCTTGTGCTCATGGTTTAACTTCTAGTATAATGCCTAGCAAATATTAAATATTTGTTGAATGAATACACACTGAGTTTTGTCTAACATTATTCTGAATTAGTATGATGTCCAATAGAAGGACTGGGTCCTTTAAGCCCACCTGATAAAAGTATTCTTCAGAGTGTTGACTGCAGAGTCTGCTGTTGCCTTAAGACTATGGCAGAGATCTTCATCTTTGGCAATGTAGCTGAGTCTCAGCAGAATTTGGCTCTTATCCCAAACTCCTTCTGCAACCCCGTCTGTGGCCCAACGTCTTCAGTCAAAAGGCTCCTTGCCTTTTGGTTCATATCTGGTTCTCAACTAGTCCTTCCCAAGTACCATATTGCTCTTGTACTGATCTCCAACCATAGTTTTATCTTACTGAGCCCTTCTCATTTCATCTACTTAGGACTTCCTGGTAATAAACTTTGCTCTATTTAATCAGGGATCTAAAGGTCTTCAACTGGGAGAGTCATCTTGGCACTGATGAGCTCCTCCCTGCTTATTCTATCTCTTCTAGCTGTAGGCTCCAGAGAAAATAGCATGTTTGTACCGTGAGCTTCCTAAATCAGTTGGACTTCTTTCCTTGAATCTACGTGTTCATTTGCAGCATTTCTGAATCTGCTTACATCTACTTCAGTCTAGAACCTGGGTAGGACCAATAACTGTTGAATGTTTTCTAGCATTTAGTATTGAAATTAACATTAGAAGAATGTGAAGTATATTTAGCTGCTTGTGATAATTATATTAATAAAGATTATTTATGTTAAAAATATTGTCTCCTATTTAAAGAGATTCAATCAAACAAAGTCTATGTAGGGGGCACCTGGATGGCTCAGTCTGTTAAGCATCTGACTTCAGTGCAGGTCATGATCGCGGGGTCCTGGGATCAAGCCCTGTGCAGGGCTCCCTGCTCAGCAGGGAATCCGCTTGTCCTTCTCCCTCTGCCCCTCCCCCTGTTGTGCTCACTCTTTCTCTCAAATAAATAAATGAAGTCTTAAAAAAAAAAGACAACCCACATAGTGGAGAAAATCATATATCCAGTAAGTGACTTATATCTAGAAGAACTCAATTTTAAAATAAGCTAAGCGGGCGCCTGGGTGGCTCAGTTGGTTAAGTGACTGCCTTGGGCTCAGGTCATGATCCTGGAGTCCCAGGATCGAGTCCCGCATCGGGCTCCCTGCTCAGCAGGGAGTCTGCTTCTCCCCCTGACCCTCCCCCCTTTCATGTGCTCTCTCTCTCTCTCATTCTCTCTCTCAAATAAATAAATAAAATCTTTAAAAAAAATAAAATAAAATAAGCTAAGCATCTGAATAGATATTCTCTAAAGAAGCTATTTTAATGACCTATAAGCACATAAAACAATACTCAACATCATTAGGAATGCAAAAACCACAATAAGGTATCACTTCACACCCACTAGAATTATTATGATCAATAAGAGGTAATAAATGTTGGTGAGGACTTGAAATTAAAACCTTCATGCACTAGTGGTGGGATTATAAAATGGTGCAGCCACTTTATAGGAAAATAGTATGACAGTTTCTTAATATGTGAAATATGGAATGACCATAGCCCAGCAATTTCACATCTAGGTTTCTACCCAAGGGAAATGAAAACATATGCCCACACAAATGTAAATGTTTATAGAAGTACTATCCACAAGTACCAAAAGGTGGAAAAATCCAAATGCCCAACAACTGGTGAATGAATAAACAAAGTGTGTTATATCTATATAATGGAATACTATTAAGCAATAAAAAGAAAGTACTGATACATGCTACAACATCGATGAGCCTCAAAACATTATGCTTTGTGAAAGAAGCCAGACATGAAAGGACACATACTGCATAATTCCACTTGTATAAAATGTCCAAATTAGGCAAATATATAGAGACAGGAAGATTAGTGTCTCTAAGGCTGGGGTTGAGAAATGAAGAGTGATTCTAAAGGACATGAGGTTTCTTTTTGGGGTACTGGAAATGTTTTAAGGTTAGTTTTTGGTGATGGCTGCACGATTCTGAAAATATACTAAATATGCTAAAAATTATTGTATTGTACACTTAAAGTGGGTGAATTTTATGGCATATATATTATAATTCGATAAAGCTGTTAGCTTTAAAAAATGTTACTGATTTTGTATGGAGATATGAATTTTATGATAAATAGACTTCTGTAGAACTACTGCAGAGTTGAGGGCTAATGGAAATTAGAAATAGAGTCTGTTTCTCCTGAAGTTTAGCAGAGAAGGTATTGTGTTTTAGACAAGGTTAGAATAATAGAGTGGCAAGAAAATGAATATAGGTAGTATATAAAGTCCCACATGAAAGGGTATATTAAAACATAGTTTCTATACATGAAATCTGGATAAGTTTCAAAGGATGCCTGAGTACCTCTCCATGACGGCTGTAGCTAATTCTGTTGTAGGAATAAAGAATATGTTTGATTCCCTCATTATGGTATGTTAATTTATAGATGGAACAACTTTCACTCAATAACATTTTTCTTATTGTTTCAATAGGAAATGTGGATATTAACTTTGTCTTTGTGCAGAGTGCAAAATGCCAACATAATAATAACAGCTAATACTTATTGATTGCTTGCTGTATGCCAGACATTGAGTGGTTTAAATCCATTTCTTCATTTAATGTATTACATTGGTATGAATACTTACTCTTCCTACTTGGTTTAATTAAACTTTTTTTTCTTGTGTCTTCTTTCTTGGGCTTTTCTCAGCTCTCTGTTTCTCTTTCCCTTCCCACCTTCAGTATAAATGATAGTATTAATGTTTCAGAGTCTCATTTCTTAAAAACAACCACTTTGTTCACATTGCCCTGACTTTAGCCAAAAACCAATTTGACATTGGAGAAATATATCAAATCAGATTTTATGCTGAATTTTTACTGATTTATTCAAAATGTTCAAGGGGTTTGTATATGTGGACCTGCAATAAATCCCAGAAAGGTGGGCTGAAGGGGAGGAGGTCTTTGAATGTGAAGTGGTAGATTCCACAGGAGTACGGCATCTTTTGTGAAGAGATCTGCAACAGAGGATGGAAAAAAGAAAACAGTTCACAAAAGGTGTGGGTAAAGGGTGGCAAAGAAGACATGTAATGCAAAATGAGGACATTTGTGAGGGATGCCTCAATGCATTGCATTAATAATTTGCATATTAAGAAGTCATGAGTCTTCGTGTTAATGAATCCCTAACTAGTCTCTGACACAATAGACTGAACTGTCCCTGGAGGAGTCATTATGGCCTATCATGTCAATGAGCCGCATATTAATGACTCTCTTACATGCTTATCAACAGGTAGCCTAATAGGCTCCCATTGAGTTCTTTTTCATTTGCTTTTTAAATGTATCCTCTTTTCCCTTCCCTTTGTAACACTATTGTGAAGAATTGACAAAAAGGTGCATTAAGATGATTTTAATGTGTGACGTAAGTTCACAAAAGCATTAAATTCAGAAATAATGCTTTAAGTCTTACTCCTCTGCCTAGAAAATTTCTCAAATGCAGTTAAATACAAATCCAGTTGGATAATAGGGTTCTTATTTGGATTTTAACATAAATCATCCAACCCAATTTACCATATTTCTCTTTTCCCTGATATATCAATTCATGCTGTGATTAGCGTAAGTATAATAGCTAGTTTGGAAATATGTTTGTGAAACTGAATTGCTTGAACATGGAAATGAATTAGAACAGATTTCATATCATAAACACTCATTAAAACCAAAGCAGTAGCTGATAGTATAAAAAATTAAAAATAAAGAGGAAATAGCAGACATATATTAATTTCATAGCAATAAAGAAATGAGCTAAAAAATTACTTTATAACTTTTAAATTTAACAATTCAAGGTAGTCGCAGGAAGGCACAATTTTAACTTTTCTAACTTGCTTTGGCAAGTTGGTCCCAATTACTCTATTTAAGATATCTGGTGCTTTTTTACAAACATAAAATCTATGATCTCCTATAAAAAATACTGAAGAATTGTTCTTCCAGTATTTCTACTGAATTACACACCATCTCGCCTGATTTACTTTCCAGATGAAGGAAAGAGTATTGACACATGCTTGAGATCCTTTGTCAGGAGACAGGAATGGGTAGAACTGGGGGAAAAAGTTGGAGAAGTTTCTTAGCACTTTGTTCCCCATAAAAAAAAATAACAAATGAACAACCACTTGTAAACATTGCTATTTTGAGAAAATTGAGGGCAAAGATGCTCAGATGAGCAGCTACAGGTTGGTACTCTGACCTCATACCTGTCACCCTCCATTTGGCAACAATTCCTTCTGAGAGGTGCCACTTCTTGAATGATTTGATTTCAAAGTCTGGAAGTCTCATGCTCCTTTGTGTTGACTCTGCCTCCTAACCCTTCCAAACATACACTGGATATATCAATTTACATTTTAAATTACTTTTTCTTAAAACAGTTTCAAAACAATAAGTAACACAAATGCTAAAGAGCTTGTATGTATGCTCAGTATTTAACAAACCAAATAGCTTAGCAATACTTACACGTAGATTCCACAAAGAAAGCATGTTTAATCAGAGTTTCTGTAATTTCAATTAGCTGGCTCAATAGTCATGACTCTGCGATAGTGACTTTTTACACAACCACAGATAAATCAACATCGTTATGAAAAAAAGAATGCCTGCAACTTAGTATCCTTAGGGAAAAAATACACACGACAATACTCATAATTTTTGGAAGACGGAGATGGTATAAAACTCTTAGTCGCTTTGCAGGGGAACTCTGGAGAATAAGGATGTCCGACTTTGGAAGTAGCAGGACTCTCAGCTGAACAATCACTCGTTTCTTGTCACCCACCTACTCCATGGGTGACAATTACTTCCTTTAAGAACTCAAGTAAAATAAGGCCTTTGGGCCAATAAGTTTAAGAACTTTTTCTGATATCCCTCTGATGTGTATTCTTTAGTTTTTCCAGTACTCATTGCTTAAAAACAATCACATTTCTCTCTCAATGGAATATAACTGACAGGTTGTGGCAGAGTCATTCCTTGAGCCAGGTTTACCTATAAGTCTTCTTTACTTAAAATTCATGGATTCTGCTTATAATTCTATCTCCTCCCAAAGCAACCTACAATTTTTGGTTCACACATGGACCTCCAAGAGGCTACTTAATTCTTCCCTAGATGCTCACAATGTAGTACCTCTTGAGAAAATACACATTGCCACAAAATGCACATGTTGCCCAGATTCAATCACAGAACTAAATCTAAACAGTCTTTTTTTTTTTGTCCTGATTCCTGTGAGGTGAGGTGAGCAGAAAAAATAGCACCCAGCACTTTGACATGGCAAGGCAGATTTGAATGGGCAATCCTTAGTAGGCAACCAAGTTATGAAATGAAGAAACTTTGGAAAAGAAACTTACCAAAGGATTCTTCAACAAAGGTATGTTTTTCAGTTATTGAAATTTCCTGTATTGAGAAGGCATAGTACAATTGTTTTCAGTACGTTCTCAAGATCAAGCACCGAGGCAATGGGCAATGCTCTAATTGAGAAATAGAAATAGAAAAGATTTTTAAGAATGTAGTAAATCAGCTTTATGGAAAACAGGAAAATGACTCAATAAAACCATCTGGTCCCTAATGTCGTGGCATGTGCTTAGTTTCTTGAATGCTTGAGCTGTTCACTAGAGTTTACTCAAGGGTCTTGTGGTTTGCCATGGTTTATGATTACATTTTATAAGTAATAAATGAGCCTATATGATAGGTATTATCCAATACATTTGTTTATCCAACCAGTTGTGATATATGTAATGTTCTGTTATTTGAAAAGTTTTACATGGACATAAGTAAAATGATGTGGAAGTAAATGATTCTGTAATCTTTACTACAAATAATATAAGATTAGCTCACAAACTGTGCAGGTAGGATTTCTATCAATTTGAACTGATAATGCTGACCATAAGATTTTTACCAAGAGTTTATTTTTGACTGTGTTGAAATTTTGAGTTAGTAGCTATTTCTACTGATTCTGCTAGCATTTTTATTTTTTTAATAGTTTAAGAAATTTCCAAATAAAATATTTCAAAATTATATTCATAAATACTCCTATTAGTTATATAAATATAGAACTCTAAAACTGGAAGGCATGTTATTTAATAGCAAAACTGAGAAGAGCAAGTTCATTCCAATTTGAGCAATAAAAGGGTTGATGGGTAGTGGCTGCCTGGCTGTGTGGAGAAGGTTCATTGAGTTGAATCTGGTCTCAGCAAGGAAATCCCTTGATCTGTTATCAGTCCTTGCCATAGGTGCTAGAGAGAGAGGCCAGCATGAGGGTATTGCATTTGATATCCCTAATCTAATCCAGAGCCTTTACTTCGAAGATAAGGAATGTGATGCCCACAAAAACCATATTCCTTACCATATTAGTTATTAGTCTCCAGATTCAGGATTGAAGGGAATATAAAGCCATTTAAAAATGTTGATGTTTTCTCTTTGAGATTATTTCTTGCTTCTTTCAATCCCTGTTAATAATGCAGAGCTGTCTTCATTTTATTGTCCTTTCTTTATCATCAAGGAACTGAATATAATTTGTCTTTTCAATCTAAATTCCTTCTGCATCATGCCTTTAAATCTTTTTTCCTTAGATACTTCCGCTCACAATTAGAAATTTATCTCCTTAATTCTGTCTTTTGATCAAATATTTCACTGCTGTTTTCGGTTTTACTCCGGATCAAGAGAAGACTACTGGTATTGTAACACCAAAGGGACAGATATTAAGCTCTAGTAGTTAATGTATTTTCAACATTACCTCTCGTTAAGTACAAGCTTTTGCTTTCCCCCATCCGCCAATTCAGAAGTGGCTAAAAAAAAAGTCAGAATACTAGAAAGTGAATTTTTAGGAAAATATCACCATAAAATTATGAAAATAGTATACAATATGTAATTATTATCCCAGGAAAGCCTTTTCAGTATTTCTAGGAGTAGCCATTTGTCAGTGCCAATGCCAATGTTGATGTACTCTTTTTAAGTGTCTTAAAAAAAAATCTCAAAGAGGTGCCTATTTTTTCTAATTTAAAAGCTCTCCATTTATTTTCCTTTCTTTCTTTAAGGGAGGAGGATAGAGGAAACAAAATGAGACCAAAGAGGACAGGCTGAACTGTTTGAGGAGTTCAACATTTATGCATTTTTTAGCTGTTTCTCTGAGTGAAAGGTGGTGCCCAAGAATTCCAAGTATGGTGTTCTCTGAGCAATGCCGAGCATCTTGCAGCAGTGTTAGGGAGACACAAATACAAGTCATGACCACTTTGGAAATGATCCTTTTTTATGCCAACTTTTTTATTGCTCTTGGAACAGAGTTACACTTTTGCTGCCTGCAACCCAATCCTGACATTTACCCGGACTGGTTGGGTAATTCCATCACATCAGACTCGGATTGTGTGGAACAGGTCTCTGAGAGGTTTTACTCATATTTTAAGAGACATATGAGCTTTTAAGCACAATGGCATTATAGGACCTTAGGAAAATCATATCATTACTTATACAAAAATGACTACATTTCAACAGTGTTAAAATTAACTCCAAAAGCAGAAGTGTCACATGCACAGAAACTGCAGTAATGTGGTAATATTAACATGGTGCCTAAATCTCGACACTGAATAAATAAAAGAAAGTGTGGATTAACATTCCGTGCACACTGTATTTGGAGAGGACACTTTTCAATAAAAGGTTACTTTTACTAAAGATCTAGTGATTTTTCTTTGGAGGATGGTCCTCTGAGAAGGGCATTGTAAAAACAACTAAGCAAGTATGCTATCATGGGTTACAAATTTTACTCTTGAAAGTAGCTTGTGAATTAAAGGTATGAGAGAATATAGGGTAAACATTAAAAACTACAGATAACTCCAAGTGAAAGGAAAGGCACGGCACTTGGGTACCATGGTAGCGTAGAATGTGTTTACCACACATCACTAATAACAATAATAATAATAATAACAATAGTGATAATAACGATAAATTTATTAAACACTTCCATGTATTGAGAACTGTGCTAAATAATTGCCCTGTATAAGGAGGAGGCAATATTTTGGAGTAAATTGAGGCATAGAGAGGTTGAGTATCATGTCCGAGGTCATGTGGCTATTATATTTCATATGGATCATTATTGATCATTATTGATTGGAAACCATTAATTTCTTTATATATTCAAAACATATTTATTATCTACTTGAGGCCATCACACAAAATTTCAATGTTATGTCCCATTTCTTTGAAGTGGGGGAAAATTTAAATTGTAAAGATGATGCAAGCCTTTGTGCAATGATATTATAAGAGAGAAAAAAACAATAAAATCTGGGCATTTTTCATTCAATAAACACTAATTTTCACTTCCCATTTGGTCAAAAGCCCAAAGACCTTCTAAGCCTAACACATTTCCTCAATGAAACTCATTGCTTTCCTTCACCCTTGTTTCGCCTCCTGAATTCTCTATTTCAGGTGATGCTAGTTCCATCCTTTTAAATTCTCAAACTAGAAACCTCTGCATTAGCCTTTATTTCTCTCCACTCTTAAGTGTTTTCTAAATAGTAGGAAAGCATGTGACAAAGTCATAGCAAACTAACAAGGAGTAGGGGAACCAGGTTTGGGACCAGGAGGGCCAACTAAAGCAGAGAAATGACTCTCCCCACTGCCTATCATTGAGGGAAGGGGCAGTCTGCATAGCTAGACTCAATGGACTCAGTGCACTGAGATACATCACATCTTTATTGGGTTTACAAATCTGGCCTCACATCAAAATCATCTTGGGAGTTTCTCAGCTCTATCATTCTCCATTCCCTCCCCACCTCCATGTGCAGGTCTATTAATTTAAAACTTAGAGAGATCGGATCTGGTGCTTCTGATATGAAAGGCGATTTGGGGAACTGTTGTTATATCAAGAGTTATAGTATCCATGGGAGACGGGAGGGACAGGTAGCAGGGCTCCTGAACAACGGAGATGCAAGTTCCTTTATGAGCTTGATCTCTAGTTCCTTAGAGATTCATCTAGATAGAATGCCCAAATCTAGCAAAACTAGTAGGCACTACTTACAGGCTGGCTAATAACTACTTAGAATGTTATGGCCCAGGTGAACAGTGTGGATGGGAAGGCATTTTATTTTTCCCCAGTGAAGGACTAAAATAAAAGCCAGGAACCTAAGCATAACTTGTGGGTCCCCTGTCCAAGCATGTGAGATTAGGGAAGAAGGTGCTTCTCATGGGTACCTCAGAAGCAGATCACCCAGCCCATAAGAGATCAGAAACCACGCTGCAGATTAATTCAACACCTTCCTGACTTGTAGTGCAGGAGCCCCAGTTAACTTCCAGATTTAACTCTTCCTTGCTTAGGTCTTAGGAGGGAAAACAGTAGATTTCTAGATCTCATGAATGCAACCAACGTCAGGCAGAGAGAGTCATTTTTAAAATCTATCTACAGGGAATTGATCAACAAATCATATTTTTGCCACATCAAAAGTAACTCAAATTTGATTCCTCTCCTCTTTCCTTGCCGTCACCTTTAACCCTCATCATATTTGTGCCTGAAATATTGTAGTCTTCTCGTGGCTAGTCTACCTGCCCCACTGTGGCTCATTCAGGTTCTCCTTAGAGAAGTCCCTAAATGTACCTCCAGAGATTGGTTCTAAAATGGACATCTGATCATGTCTCTCTCCCATTGAACTCCCTTTCCCCACCACCCCCTGCAGTGGTTAAAAAGTGCATAAAGAATTCAGCCCCACTCTGCTTGGCATGCTAAGCCCTTTAAAACCTACTCAAAAACAAACTGATGATTACCAGAGGGGAGGTGGGCTGAGGGATGGGTTAAATAGGTGATGGGGATTAAGGAGGGCACTTGTGACGAGCACCGGATGTTGTAAGTGTTGAATCACTAAACTGTACACCTGAAATTAATATTACACTGTATGTTAACTGACTGGAATTTAAATAAAAACTTACTAAAAAAAAAAACAACACCACCAAAACCTATTCAAACTAACTCTAGTTCTGTTCCTCGGCATTCTTTCCCCCGGATACAATTTGAACCGTCTGAACATTTCATTGTTTTTGAATGTGTCTCTGTCTTTTGTGCTTTCTTACCCTAAAATCTTTTACCACTTGTTATTGCCTCTGTCTGGAATGACCATACCATTCTTCTCTAATTGCCAAACTCTTACTTTCCTCAATAACTCAGTGACTCAAAATATTACTTCCTTTGTAAAAAATTCCATGCTTTCCCCACAGAGTACCCTCCTTGTTTCTGTCCTCCCTTTTTTTCTTAGAGAATATGTTTCATATTCCATAATGTATTATAATACTTATCACTTATTATAGTGATTATAATAATTGCCTCTTGATGTGTCTATTTCCATCCTTACATTTTAGCTTCCTAAAAGTAAGACGTTATGATATCCCAGTGTTTATTATTAAGTTATGAGAGTGGGTGATCAAAATATCTTCTAGAAGAATGAATGACCCTTCTTATGATTAAATAATACAAAAGGCTATATTATAT